CTTTTGCAGTTAGAGAAACTGAAGAGATGGAGAACCTATCAGACACTGGCAAAGTCAGGGTGACTTCTATGACAGACCCTCGAAAAGCTACAGGTATCTGATGTGTGCATTATGGAGTGTGATTGAGAAGCTTCATTACCTTCTGGAAGGGCTTTCAGGCCCCTGCTGCTGTCTAAGTCTCCAGATGGGTCTTCCATCTCAGAGAGCCATGCACAAAAGTATTTGCGGTCCTGTGAGACAGTCTCGGCCTGTGAATCTTGTGAATACATGATCTTTCTGTGCAGGAAAGATGTAGGAGCATGCTCTCTTTCCTCATGTAAGACAAAGTCCCTGTGCAACATTGCCAGATGTGGCAGAAATGGCAAACCTAAGCCACTGTAGAATATAGGTTGCATGGGCTTTCTAAGCCACATCTCCCAGTTTATTGCAGCTTTTCCAGAAACTAGTGCATTTGAAATCATGATTCAAAGTGGTACATCTGGGAGTCAAATACTTCCCCAGTGAAGAGGTATAGGCTGATGGTTCCAAGAACATGGTGTGGTTCTGTCCATCTCTGGCCTCCTCCCCTGGCGGGGCTCACTGAGCACAGTGTCCATTACAGTGGTCTGGAGTTGTATGGACTCTATGATTTGCTAGAACGCATCCTGATCCATGTAGTTTTCTAACACTTCCAAGGGTATGGATACCTCATGGATATACACCGCGTGGAGTTTATCCAACCCACAGAAGTGTGCCAGGGGGAGCAGGCCTGTTGAGAACGGTATTGCTAATGAGTGTCAACTCCCTAAACACGGTGAATTAGTCAGAGATACATCAGGTTTTGGAGAATGTGTGGGGTGTAGGCCAGTCACCTCTAAGATCTCATGAAACTGAGGCAGCAGAGCTCATCTGGTTTTGACCAACAGCTTGTGCATATACTGGCAAAGCTTCTGCTAGACCTGACAGATTCAAGGTGACTCAGTACCAGAAGACCCTGATCAAGAAGTGTAACTGTGAAACTGAAGGCTCCATTCTTCTTGTTAACCTTTACAAAGCTCAGGGCCTGTGATGGCTCCATATGACCCACTGATGGGGAGAAGCTTGGCATAGTCTCTCTTTGGACCTCTCCAGGGTGGGTGGTAGTAACCATGGGGTGAAGGAGTGGAGCCCAGCGAGCGACTCAGGGGAGTGGGGAGAGCTACTGTCATAGAAACCTCAACAAAGCTGGATTCCTTAATGCTACAAGGGCCTCAGATATCTTGGGAAGCAAGATATTGGAATCTCCTGCTGATTGCTAAGAACCTACCATCAGGACTCAAGCTATTGTGCTGTGACCTACGTGTCATCTAGGTGTGTCTCTGGTAGCTTTCCTGATGAGGATAAATGGCCACTTAAGAATCATCTTTACTGAAGATGGTGACAGGGAATGCCTGCATATTACCTGCTCTGACTCTTCTTATGTCGCTTAAGGGGCTGCTTGGACAGTACCTCCTCCAAGAAGCCTTCTTTGGCTTATATCAAACAGATGTGGATGCACACATGAGCCACTCTACCTCTCCTTGATATATATGACATTGTATTTTATGTATGCATGTACATATGTTATTAGTCTTGTGTCTTCCCAACCAATATCTAAGACCACATGAAGGCAGGAGCTTTGTCCACTCTGTGACTGAGCAGAAAGTGGCCACTCAGTAAGTGTGAGCGTCCTTTGTAGCTGAAGGGCACTTGGGCTAGGGAAGAGAGCGCATAGGGAATGGACAGCCAGGTCCAGCTGGCGACCTTGCTAGTGAGCTGAAGCTCTTGTTTCCATGTGGATCCCATGGCAGATGCACACAGGGAGTTCCAGGCCTCTTTGAGGAAAGGACATGGGGCATGTGTAGGAACAGTGAGCACCTGTCACCACCCACAGTCCTTCCCCTCCATTGTCCCTAAACCTCTGCCCTTCTCTGTCTTCTTTCATGCATCCAGGAGGCTTTACAGGCTGAGGTGATGAGAAAAGATTCACAAAGGAGATGAAATTCAAATGAGCTTCGAGCAACATTGTAAAGCTATATGTCATTTCTAAGTCAACAGAGCAGGGACAAGTGTAAAAATACTGTATTTCTGTTGGAGTTCTCTCAGGCTTCATGCTTGCCTTCATTAGCACAACTAGCTTGATTGGTCAGTTTTTAGCTATGATTCTTGCATGAAGACTTGTATTAGCAAGTACACAGTAGGCTGAAAATACGATTTCTCCCCTTCCAGGATGAAGTCAACCAGATCATGGAAACCAATCTGTGGCTGCGTCACGTATGTGTCTCTCATGTGTCTCTCTCCCTTTGAACTGTGGCCACATGTGTCCACTCAGTGATAAACCCACCTACACTGCCTCTTTCCCTACCCAACCTATGATAGATATAGAATATCCTCCACCTTGCATCTCCTAATCCTCGGGCTCTGCTCTGGTTGCAGCTAACTTAACTCAGGCAGCGCATGGGCAGAGCCTAATGTCTTTGACACAGCATCCTCTGACCTTTCCACCTTCTGCTCTCAGGTCTCTTCTTATCAGTTACTGGGGTCCCAAGTCCAATGCTTACTTTCCTCTTTGATAGCTCCAGGAGGTCAGCGGTTGAGGTCTAGAGAACATATTACATAATCGATAGCTGGTTTTTACAAGTTATAGTGTCTCTGCTCTGAAAAGTCTAAATAGTTTACACAGTGCAATAGACTCATACTCACGCATACAAATTATGTTTTTATCATAAGAAACAAGTTACTACTCCAGTTTTGAACCACTGGAGTAGTCCATAAAACACAATATGAAACCTTGATCTTGGCCAGTTAGCTTGTTATAGGTTTGCCAAAATCTGCCCAGCTATTTATCTTCCTGTGCCCATGGTTATAATTCCCTGCTTTGAATGGGAATCAGTGTATTCTTCAAAGTATCTTATTTTTTAATCAACGAAATTATTGAACCAACATAAACATTTGGGAAAAGTTATGATGGCATTTTTCAAAAAGGATTTTTACCCATTTTAAAGTGAAAGGGGCTTGTAGGGAGGAAGGGGGTAAAAGGCGAAAGGGGTTGGGATTGAGGTTCAGAGAGGGCAGAAGGTAACAGTAATCAGGACCCCCAATGCACATGTATTAACTTGTTAAAGAACAAATTTAACAAAAGTTCAAAACAAAGCAAGACTACTGCCACCACCAGAAATGGATCTTTATTTCTTTTCTTTTAGATCTGGAAAGACTACAGATTGCGCTGGGATCCCACGGAGTATGATGGCATTGAGACACTCCGTGTTCCAGCAGACAAGATCTGGAAGCCAGACATTGTTCTATATAACAAGTACGTGTGTCTAGACAGATTCACGGCAATGTTCAAAATCTTTGGCCCGTGTGGCACACAGCACAGGGACCGTGTTGCTGACAGTGTGTGGTTTTTCTTGCAGCGCTGTTGGCGACTTCCAAGTCGAAGGCAGAACCAAAGCTCTTCTGAAGAATGATGGCATGATAACCTGGACCCCACCAGCCATCTTCAAGAGTTCTTGTCCTATGGACATCACCTTCTTCCCTTTTGATCATCAAAACTGTTCCCTGAAATTTGGCTCCTGGACTTACGACAAGGCTGAAATTGACCTTCTGATCATTGGCTCTAAAGTGGACATGAACGATTTTTGGGAAAACAGTGAGTGGGAAATTGTCGATGCCTCTGGCTACAAGCATGACATCAAGTACAACTGTTGTGAGGAGATTTACACAGACATCACCTACTCTTTCTATATCAGGAGGCTGCCCATGTTTTACACCATTAACCTCATCATCCCCTGTCTCTTCATCTCCTTCCTCACTGTGTTGGTCTTCTACCTTCCTTCTGACTGTGGCGAGAAGGTAACTCTCTGCATCTCAGTTCTGCTCTCTCTGACCGTCTTTTTGCTGGTGATTACTGAGGACCATCCCATCCACATCTCTTGTGATCCCACTGGTGGGTGAGTATCTACTGTTCACCATGATCTTTGTCACCCTGTCCATTGTGGTGACTGTGTTTGTGCTGAACATACACTACCGTACACCAGCAACACATACCATGCCCAAGTGGGTGAAGACCGTTTTCCTTCAGGTTTTCCCCTCAATTCTGATGATGAGGAGGCCTCTGGACAAGACCAAGGAGGCAGATGATGTTAAAGACCGCAAAAGCCTTCCCAAGAGACCTGCCAAGGTCAAGTTTGCTCATCGAAGAGAGCCCAAACTTCTGAGGGAATGCTGTCACTGTCAAAAATCAAGTGAGATGGCTCCTGGCAAGAGAAGATTGAGTCCGCAGCCTGCACAGTGGGTGACAGAGAATTCAGAGCACTCACCAGATGTGGAAGATGTGATCGATAGTGTTCAATTCATAGCAGAAAACATGAAGAGCCACAATGAAACAAAGGAGGTAAACATATATCCCTTTTCTCCAGCCAGTTGTAGCAGGCCTCTAGGCACTTTAGAGACTAGTCAGAGCATCAATGGGAGTTATGTTTGTGGTACAATCAGACAGAATCATTTAAGACCAGCTCTACTATCATGCAGCATTGGGGAACCTGGGTTAGAGTTCAGGTAGCTACAGTGAGATGATATGTAGCCCTACATACAACACATCTCCAATCTGCATTTACTTACAATAAAATCCAGCTACGCTACACATGCAGGACAAGCTTGATTCATGGAACAAGCCCCAACACAGCACACAGTAGCAAAGAGAGGGTGAGGAGGGAGACTCCCCAAGGGGAAGCAGAACTGGCTGTGGTGCTGCCTGTAGTTGCAATGATGAAGGATGTGAGCTCCTTAGCATTCAGCAGCTCTGGCTCCACTTCCTCCACTAGAGATAGACATAGACTCGAATCAAAGGCATCTAGGAGATGTGCCCAGCATGCGCACATTCTGTTCCTGTCTCCCACACTCTCATGCCAGTAACTTGGGTCCCCCTTCCCCAAAACAAGAACTCAAAGATAACATGCCTGCTCTCCATGCCAACACTTGACTAGCTGAGGCTTCCAAAAGCTCTTGCCGAGTATCTGGAGTTGTTTTGTACTATAGCTCCCGGCATCTGTAACTCCTAGTGAAAGGATGTCAAGACCCCTAAGACTCCCTGTTGATGCCCTGGAAGACAATGAGAATGCCAGTCATAACACATGTCACAGGACAGGAATAGCCAATGAGCTCTCCTCCAGGCTTGCATCTTTTTGTATGTAGGAGATATAGTTATTGTTGACTTATCATGCCATGCAGGTCCCCTAACACACAACCCACAGGGACCATAGCAGAAGGTTAGAAGTTTAGAACTGGAAAGATTCCAGATATGTGAAAGCTCTCCCTGTGAGCATCACTTTGAGGCCTGGAAGCTGCTTCTTTCTGTGTAGGGGGTCCTCAGTCACACCCCACATCCTCCAGCCTGTTCTCTCACAGCTTCAAACTCAGGTCCCCAAAGGGCCAGGTTCTCCTTGTGCACACGTGACAAGAGTTGGAATCTCAAGCAGATATTTTTAGGAATTGTCCCTAGAAAAGGACCTTTGTCACAGGAAAGGGATCATAAAAGTCTTCGGCACCATTCATAGCCAGCTCTATGGGCCACCCATGGTGTATATCCATCCACCATCCTTAGACAATGAGCACCCTATAGGAGACATGGGCAGGCAAACATAATATCAATAATTGATTTTGAATGTACTGAAGAAAGTTGCTTTGAAGAAAAAAAGAAAACACTATTCATAAGACGAAGCATGTTTTCCTATGGTCTTGGTTTTTTTAAGCTAGCCTTGATCTTTTGTTCGTATTTCAGGTAGAAGATGACTGGAAATACATGGCCATGGTGGTGGACAGGGTCTTCCTCTGGGTGTTTATAATCGTCTGTGTGTTTGGAACCGTGGGGCTATTTCTACAGCCACTGCTTGGGAACACCGGAAAGTCTTAATCTGTATTTTCCTTTTTGCTTCTGAATCTTTTAGATGTTGTGTCTGTTCTGAACTACTTACCACAAGAAAAGGCCAAGTACCCAGTCTCCTAAACCCTGACCAGAAGGGAAAGGGGAACAATATTACAACCTTAGGAGCCTGAATGTATGTCTTCATTGTGCTGGGTGTCCATTAGAGTGGTTTACCATCTTGGTGCCCAGAGCTGGCAGTGCTCCTGGGCCAGAAGCACTGACTCAGTTTCTCCATGCTAGGCATTCTTTGTTTCCAGGAACATGAATGGTCCCTCACAGAGCCGGGCCCCACAGCTAGCACCAGCCCACACTGAAAAGGGATTCTCTTGTATCTGAAGCTCCTGTTGGTGGTTGCAATGATGTGTAAGACCAGAGAGAAACTCAGCAACACTGCTGCCATTTGCAACACCTGTCTGCTACTGTACCCTACTTTCTTGTGTGTGTCTCTGTGATGGAGCTCACACCATTCTCCAACACATGCGTGGTTAAAGAAGAAAACAGACGGTGTCTCTCTTAGCAGACTTTCAATTCGTTGTACTATTGGCTTTCTGTGTGAGAAGTCACCTGAGATAATCAGTGTGAACGGAGGAAGTTGATATGAATTCGTGGTTTCAGAGGATTTAGTCCATGATCACTAGGCCCCACTGCCTCTGGACCTTTGGGGAGGCAAATCATCATGACTGACTTGCCTAGTAGAGGGCAGCTGTCTACTTCATGACAGCTACCAAGAAAGCAAAAAGAGAGAAAAAATCCAGGATGCCAATATTCCCTTCAAAGGCACACCCCAATAACTTAACTTTTTCCTGCAGGGCCTCATGTCCCAGAAGCTCCACTACCTCCCAGCAGTGCAGAGGACTAAGTCTTTAATGCATGTCCTTGGGGGTGATCTAAACCACAGCAGTATTGTTCCGGCAGAACACTTGGCTGGTACCCAGTACTGTGCTAGGTGCTACAAGGGTAACTTGAGTAGATTCTTTCCCTTGTAAAGTTACAGTCTTTTAGAAAAGTCATACAAGAAAGACCCACAGGATCAGGTAGTGGAGAAGACCGCTAGGGCAACTCAAATGAAAGAACCTAGTTGGGAAAAACCTAAAACCACTCTTGTGCTTCAGATAGGCACCTGTCTAGTCTTTTCCCATGAACCCTTCACATACTCACTGCATGGAGACCAATAAAATCTTCAAGAAATTTTAATCTTCTGCCATTTGGAGTGATTACTTTTCCGAGTGGGTGAACATTGGGAATTGTGTAGTGTTCCACTCCAGTTACTTGTTTACATGACTGTTATAACTTGCAGGTGTATCTTAGAAGCCCATGGAGTCTAGTAAAGGAGATGTTTCCAGTTCCACCTTTTCTCTCCCAGTAAGTCCTTGTTCGTGTGCATAGGTAATTTCATGATTCAACTTTACCTTCTGATTCTATTGTCTCGAAACAATATCATCAAGCTTTGGCAGGGCCTGGATGATGAACTGTCTGTCATCCTTGAGATATGGACACCTGGTCAGGATAAGGCTGCAGAGGCAGCCATACCTCTCACTGGACAGAGGCTCCGTGATGGGTGATTTGATGTGCTCTGGCTCATATTGGAAAATATTAAAAAAAAAAAAAAAGCGATCTCTGAGATCTTCAGGGATGCTGAGTAAGCCACGGGCCTTTCCAAAATCCTCCGCAGGTTGGGGGCCACCTTGGCCTGTGCTATAATCATGGTCTAGCTACACCAAGGAGATGCCTTGGGTGGTGCCTCCATTCTCCTTCAGATCTGGGTGGTCAACCATGTGGCTTCTGGGGTTGTTTTGTTTGTTTGTTGTTGTTGCTGGTTTTCTTAATTAGAACATTTGTTTTGTTATGCTGTAGAAGTTCCTTACATGCCGTGCAAACAAATTCTCCATCCAGTGTTAGCATACATATTTTGTGAATTGCATTGTAAGAATGGAGAGTAAGAATGACCTCAGGCAGGGCCCAGAGGAAACCCATCTGAATGTCTTCATGCTTGAGTGTGCCTTAGTACTTGAGAATATGTCAGGCTTTCTGGCCCAGCTTCCTAGAAATTACCTAGCAATTATCAAAAGATTCTAAACTAAACAAAATAACACACCTAAAAGAAGTATATCATGGTGTTTGTTTGTTTGTTTGTTTTTGGAAGCAGGGGGCACAACATTTTTTTCTGAAGAGCAAGAGAAAGCATGAACTGAAAATCTGTAAAGGAGCATGAAATAAATTGTTAAATACATACTTAAGGTTTTTAATTTTTAGAATATTCCTTGATCACTATCCACCTTATTCATTGAGTCAGGACCTCCCAGTCGAATCCAAAGCTCACTGATATGACTAGTCTATTGCCAACTGGTTCCAAGGATGGTCCATGTCTGCTTTCTAAGGCTGGACTTACAGGCAAGCTGCCATACCCACCTGACATCTACCTGTGTTCCAGGAATCCAAACTCCAGTCCTCCTGTTTATAGAGTAAACCCTTTAACTGCTGAGTCACCTCCATAGCTCACTGAGTTTTGTTATGCCAGTCTGAACAAGTTAAGAATCCAGTTATGCTTCCCCAGAGATCATAAACAGGCATGCGCACACACATGCACACACAATACACAACACACACACACACACACACACACACACACACACACTTTCCAGTTGGTGTTTAGAAATGTCTAAAGTGGGGGCTGGAGAGATGATGGCTCAGGAGTTAAGAGTTACTGTTCTGCCAGAAGACCAGAGTTCAGTTCCCAGCACTCACACCAGGTAGCTCACACATAGCTACATCTCCAGGGGATCTGATGTCCTTTTCTGCCCTGCACAGGCATGCACACATGTGACATACATTCATACACACACTCTCTCTCACACATGCACACATTACTTAAATAAAAATAATAAAAGTAAATCTATAGAAATGTTTAAAAGGCCATTGTACCTGTCCCAATGAGTAGGGATGTCATCATTATCCCTTGAGAACTGGGGACACTAAGCTCCTGTACTCTGGGAAACAGGTTGGTGCAGAACTTTCCTTGCCAGAACAACCATATGACAGATACCCCTACGAGAAACCAAGACTCTCTTGAGGGTCTTTATTAGGGGCATAGTGTTAGAAGGATGAGCAGACACTCCCTCACATACTGCAGCAGGAGCATCTGAACTGTTGGGGTGAAGCAGAGAGATCCTTGCCTAATTTTTTGTGACCCCTGAGGGTTATTTAAAAGCTGAAGAATATTTTCATCTGTAAGTCAGACTGACTATAACCTGTATTAGTTACTTCTTTGACTACTGTGATGGTATATTTGACAAGAATCAACTTCATGAATGAAAGGTTTGTTTTTGCCTTCAGTTGAGCGGCTGTGTTCTATCATGACAGAGGAGGCATCGTGGCAGATGTGTGAAGCAGCTGGCCGTGTTACCTCCATGATTAGGAAGCTGGGAGACCAGGAAGTAGTGCTGGATGTGAAACCTCAAGCCCCACCCTTAGAGATTCACTTCTTCCAGCTAGATCACACCTCAAGACCCACATTAGCTGGGAACCATGTGTTCAAACACATGACCTAGGGAGCCATTTCATATTCAAACCACAATGCAGGATTTCCTCATGGGGCTGTTTCTAGTTTACATGAGTTGAGCATCACACTGTTTCACATTCTTCTGGATACTTTCAGATATCATAATCTTCATTACTGCCCAGGGCAGAGGCCATCTTCAAGTGCTCTGGTGGGTATGTCTGACTCTGAAGTGGACAGAACTGATTTCCTACAGTGGACAGCCCTGCCCAGAGTCTTAATGATCCGCATCAGCTGCTTTTGGATGGTTGTTCAAAGACAAGATCATAACCATGAGCCAAAGATATAATTCCACTTTTATTTTCACTGGTCTTTTTTTGCATACTAAACAGAAAATATACTGAGGAAGGAATTCATGCCAGGTTAAAGAGAAGTAGCTGTCAACATAATTAAGTGAACCCATTTTAATACAAAACACTGTTTTAGAGACAGAACTCTGAGACAATCAAAAGGTCCATCTTAGCATTGCATTGAAACATTATTCTCTGGAAATTACAGTGATCCATGTGTCTAGTTAGATGCTATCTTTACAAGGTCCAAAACCGTGGCTATTATATTAATTGACTGTGTACTGTAGCCACAGGCTGTGCTACCCAGCTTACTGCTGGACACAGAGATGATATCAAACTGTCACCATCTGAGTTCAGTAATTAATCATAACAATAATGATATGGCAGCCAAAGAGTATGAGTGCTCATAGGGTGCAAAGTGATCTTCACATTACCATCTATGATGGATTCCCTGCCGATGATGTTGAAATCAGAAGTAGTTAGGATTTCTGTTGTCATGTTAGACTACAGGAAACTCAAGGGGCAAAGAAACAAGCCAGATGACATCTGAAACAAAAAGACTGAGAAATGAAAAGGTGGGACATGCTCAGTGATAGCAGAGTTAGTCCTCCCAAGAAACCATTGCTGAAGACTGAAATTGACTTAGGAGGCACAACAACACAACCCTGCACCAGGTCCTAATTTAGAAAAGCTAACTACAGAGCTAAAGTACTTCTGAGGCAGGAAAACCACAATTAAAATTAAAAATTATTTTGTTAAATATGGGCAATAATTGTTTAGGAAATGTCCTCATATAAGAAATAATAAGAGAGCAGAAGAGGAAGAGCTGGCCCTGCTCCTCACCAGATGCAGCACTTGGGAGAGCAGGCCCTGCACCTCACTTGCCAGGGTGCACAGAAGAGCTGACCCTGTTGACTGGGGTAAGAGTGAGCCAGCCATGAGAATGTGAGCAGGGGAGACCTGGCCCTGCCCCTCATCTGCCATGCAGTAGTTTGGGCAAGAGAGAGATGGTCCTCTCCCCCCCACACCACCTCTCACTGCCTGTGGTAGGTGGGGGAGAGCTATCCCTGAGGTCATTGAGAGCAGGAGGGCTGTCCCTGCCCCTCACCAGCTGCAGCACTTGGGAGAGTGGGCCCCTGCACCTCACCTGGGCAACACAGTAGAGCTGGCCCCTGGTGGTGAAGGTATGGGTGAGCCAACCTGGTAGTGAAGGCATGAAAGCAGGGAGAACAAGTCCCACCCCATGCTCCTTGCTGCAAAGGGTGAATTAGCCAGGGTAATGCTGGAGAGCTCACCCTGGTGGTGAGGATGGGGGACAACTGGTAGGCTGACCTACCCTGCAACCACCCAGGCCTAGAATCAGGTCTATGAGTTGGCCCACCCCATCTATGATCTGCTGGAGCATGTGAAGAGGCTGGTCCTGCAGATCCAAAGCTGCAAGATCTCCACAACACAGGGCAACAACAGGATATCCAAGAGGAGTCTCAGTATTGATAGTGTAGCATAAAAACAGAGGCCTCCGAACCAGTCCAATGACTCTTTGTAATAAGCACTTGCAACTGAAGATATATGGACAAAAGGATAATCTGGGTGACTCACTGTGTTACACTACAGCTTCCACAATAAGATTTCTCTCCTTTTTCTCTCTCCTTTTTTCTTTTCTCTTATTTATTTTATTTTATTTGGGGGAAGGGGGCATTACAAGGGCAGAGAATAGATACAAAGGGTCAGGGAAATGAATGGGATTGAGAGACATGATGTGAAATCCACAAAGAAGAAATAAAAACTTACAAAAAAGAGAATAAATAATTCTCTCAAGGTACACATTGAAGACAATGCACTGAGATAGTAATGTTGGGGACAGGCTACACAAGGGTACACCATGTGGCTAATCCAATCAAACACTTCTAGTGTCCAGAAGGTGCCATGGAAGCTTCCAAAGCAAGGAAGCAACCAACAGTCCTACCCAACTATGACGCCAATGAACCACATCAATGACCAACAAGTCATGATAACACTCCAGGTGCAGTCGTGACACACATGCCTTGATAGTAACCAACAGCTCTCTAATTGGACTTAAGACTCACTCAACAAGCCAGGTGGTGGTGGCGCACACCTTTGATCCCAGCACTTGGGAGGCAGAGGCAGGTAGATCTCTGTGAGTTCAAGGCCAGCCTGGTCTACAGAGTGAGTTCCAGGACAGCCAGAACTACACAGAGAAACCCTGTCTCAAAAAAAAAAAAAAAAAAATCACACAACAAAAGGAAAATAATGCCTGGTGCTAAAACCCTAGCTAACTAGTCAGTGCTAGTGAAGTCATGGTTATTAGAGGAGAATCCACAACCACTAATTCACTAAGCCAGAATAATCCCTAAGAACAATCCAAAACCATTTGTCTTTATACCCACAGATAAGTGTAGTCTTTACCCTTCATCATGGAAACTTTTTTGCAACAGATGGAAAACACTATAGAAAACCACAAACAACAAAATGCAGGGTTGTGGAGCACAGTCCCAACTGATACATCTACAAAACACTCCCACACCTAAGACTCGGGGAACATGGCCAAGGAGGGGGCAGAAGGATTGTAAGAGCTGGAGGATCAGGGAGTTTTCTGTGTCTCTTCGTAATATCAGAAGCTACATCCATAAAGTCTCACCAATATGACTGCCAACATGTGAGCTGAACAAAGATAAGACCAATGAGCATGCCAGACTGGATAGGAGAAAGCCTCAATCCCACACAAGGAACCATAGATAACTGAAGATAGGGTGGGAATGGGAGAGATGGTCTTCCCCAGGGAAGAGCACACCCATTGATTGTCTAGTGCCAAACCGTCAGCCCTGAAAACATACATGGCAGGTAGCATTATACAGACTGAACAGGTTACATTTAGGAACATACATGTGTGTTAAAAATACATATATGCATGCAATAACAATTAGTGAAAAAAGAGGCCATACATTTGAAAGAGTGGGGAGGGGTGTACAGGAGGGTTCAGAGGGAAAAAGGGAAGGGAGAAATGCTATAATTAAATTACAACCTTAAAACAAAAACCTTCTAGGACATGATTTAATTAGTGAAAATACATTGAATAAGCCTGATGTGCACACTCAGCCCCATTAGACACGTTGGGAACATAAGGGAGGTAACACTGGCGCAGGAAAGGAACTCACCCTCACCAAACAGAACAAACAAAAACAATCCCATTCTAAACCA